CACAAATAACATTGAACAGAGTTACAATTTAGGACACAGCTTTTTTGTTTCTTCTTCTAATGGCCTGTAGCAAAAAAACTTGGAAAATTATTTTCCCTACAGAAATAAATAGAGTCAAAGTGCAAAATTTAAACTCTCATAACTTTGAAACTTTTATAGATAGATTTTTTTTTTAATTTTTTCTATGTTTGTGGTACCTTACCCTACATGGCATTTGTCTTTGAAGCGGGAGTTCTGACGCACTCTGTATGTGTATACCATGCAGAACGTGACTCCTTCAACTTTTAGAATCGCGATATCTCAGGAATGGTGATTGTTAGAAAAAAAGTATAAGGACCATTTTGTAGATAATTTCAAGATCTATATTTTTTGACTGGGCTACTTTTTTGATAAAACTTACCGTTTTCGAAAAAAATCTAAAAAACGTCAAATTTAGACATTTGACCCCGAATAACTTTTTTAGCACACATGGGATCGATGGGGACTTTTGACACTTTATTCCTAATGGTGTACTCAATATCTCCACCAAAATTTAGCTCTGTCGGAATTTTAGTTATTTCAAATGTTTATTTTGACCGGACTATATATTTACGAATGGAGTCGTCCGCGACGAGTTTTCGTCTTTGCGCATCCCTTCCATCGATATCCTTTTTGGTTTCTATGAACTCTAGAGCATCTTTTAATTAGTTCAAATCCAAATTTTTTAAATAGTATACCGAGTAGTTTTTAAGATATGATTTTCTGAAGTTAAGGTTTGCTATTCAGGTATTACGCCATTTGGGAGAAATGCATGTTAATCTTACTTAAAATTGCATTTTTATAAAAGTATTTGTTTCAAGATTCTCCTTATGCTTAAAAATGGTCAATTGCACCTTCTTCGTTATAATTAGAATAAACAAAAACTGTTTCTTTACTTAAAACAAACAAAGAGTAACAAAGAGTACCTGCGTAAGTAAATAAAGTAAATAAAGTAAATAAAGAGTTTTTTTGTTCTAAAAATGATCACTGATTATTGAGCAAAAAGGATCTAGAAGTTTAAAGCAGTAGCTTTAAATATACGAACAAATCTTTTTCAAATTAAATCACTTTCCATTCAGATTTCGACTTGTTCACTTTATTCTAGCTTTTTGATATTTTTTTGAAAATGTTCTGGGCAAATGCTTTCTTATCACTTTCTACTGATGTTGAATGTAATAAGTCAGTTGCTTCGTGTGCAACTGTTATCACAACAACTACCACCTACAAGCTAACTGAAGATAATCGTAGAATGTACAAACAAAATAAATCAGGTGACTTATTGCATTTAACATCACTCGAAAGTGATGAGAAAGCATTTGCTCTGAACATTTTCAAAAAAATATCAAAAAGCTAGAACAAAGTGAACACGTCGAAATCTGAATGGAAAGTGATTTGATTTGAAAAAGATTTGCCCTTATATTTAAGACTCGTGCCTTAAACTTCTAAAATAAAGCAATTTGAGCTATTTTCAATCCAATTTTAATCGATTTTAATACAGAATTAATTCAAAACAAATGTATATTATTAGTATAATTGCTTCAATCTTAATTTTAGGCTGAAATAAATCAATTTGTGATATTTTGAATCGATTTGGCTCAATTTTAAGTTGGGAATCAA